GAATCGTCGGCTCTTCTGCAGAACATCATTTTATTGCTACTTGAAGCCATGATCTTCTCTGAACGATGGACATTTTTCGGCACATAATAACATTTACATACAGACCCGCTGCGATTTGAACGGACGGAATGAAGCAGTGAATCAAACACTAGAGATATTCGAGTTTTTCACTGAAATGACCTTAGAAAAAATGGACTGGCGGAACAAGATTAGAAAACCAGATCCTACATGACTGTGAATATCACAAAAAATACGGTACTTAGTTACGGCCGTGAAGAAGAAAGTGTAGAGGATGCGATGCTGTAGACGAAATGGAAGAGGAAGAAGAAGAAGAAGAAGGCAGAAAGATAAAGAAGGAAAATGGTTAGGGAAGGAGGAACAGTAAGAGGGAGAGAAAGGAAAAATCAGATGAGCATAATGAAGAAAAAGAAGAGAATCACCAGCTGAAAACGAAAGAGAATGTGAGTAAAATGGAAAAAGAGAAACTAGAAGGGAAAGAATAAAATGGAAGACGACAGCGAAAAAAGAAGAAAAAGATAAAAACAAGGGTTAGCGTGTATGACAGAATTAACAGGAGCAAGAAAAAGACTAGGAAACGATTTTAAAAAGAAACAGGAAAAAGTGAGTAGAAGATGGCATTAAGTTTCGTGAAGATGATAGACCATTCCAAATCTGATGGATTGGTAGGGAGAAAATGACTCTTTCAAACAAAATGAAGATGCTCATCGATGCTTGGGTTTAGAAAAAATTGATCAAACCCTTATCATGGTCGTAAACATTAGAAATCTCATTTGGTGGAAGCATGACAGATTCATCATTTTTACAGTTTCTCGAAATAAGCTTTGAAAAGACGTTTCATGTTGATACAAAATACCACTGACCTTGTAAATAAAATTCACTGATTAATTGATGCTGTGAAATGCTTAATACTGTAGCACTGTTAAGCGAGTAACAACTTGTACACCACTGCATATCTGACTCAATTCGCTATGAAATCGATAATCAGTCTCTAAATTCAGTTTTTCTATCAATCTTTCCAATCCAATATCAAAGCATCAAAATTAATCGAAGGACTGCAACAGAGGATTAGCATTTTGTACAACTTCTGTGTTGCTCATTGTTACTCTGTGGCTGTTTAAAACTATCACGTAGGAAAATTCCTCCTTAACTTCCAAAAGTCAAATTTGATGAGGTACCCAAGTGGAGCAGCTAGATCGATTGGTTTAGGTACCAATGTTCCTTCATCTCCTCGGATGGCATCAATCACTTGGAGCCAAGCAGGAAAAGGAATATTTTCTCAATTTTATGCCTTGATAAGGATGATCTTGTAGAAGTCACAGCTGCGATGGTTTGGGCGCTGGGTGACAATGCTATCAAAAATTACGGTAAAGCAGCCACTCCTGCCCAACGTGCCGGCCAAAGATCAGATGCAATGGCAAGAATAAGTTGTGATAGGGGCACCGAAGGACCATGTTTAAGAGTCGAGTTATGTTCTGCCGAAGCTCAGACTCTGACGCGTGGTTGGGAACGTTAGAGACGCTGCTGTCTCCGTATCTTCAAGGGATAAACGACCCTCGAAATCGACTGAGTGAGAAACTTATCACTTAGGCTTCGAACTTGTCAGATGGGAACGGAAATCTAGCAGACGGAGGTGAGCATGACCATGGATAAAGAGTTGGGTGCACAGCCCTTCAGCGAAAACTGAAGACGTCGCAGCAGTGAAAGAACGAGTGCTAATCGAAACTGACTCAACATACTGAAACATTACAATTCGATCAGTGAGACGGAACGAAGAGGTAATGAGGTCGATTGTGTTCATTTTCAAGGCCTGCCCTGCCGAGCATTGCCCAATGTTGAGGCTACGGTGAAGGGGGCGGGGGGGGGAGGAGAGATCAACCCAGCGTGAA